TTGTGGACTTCAACTCCCAGAACTCCTGAGCTAACACAACTGGAGGAGGAATTCTGGGAGTTGAAGTCCATAAGTCTTAAAGCTATCAAGTTTGAAGATCCCTGTTCTATACTATATATTTGGCTAACTACACCAAGAGTTTTCAAACTTAGCAAGTTTAAGACTTGTAGACTTCAACTCTCAGAATTCCTGAGCTAATGTGACTGGAGGAGGAATTCTGGGAGTTGAAGTCCACAAGTCTTAAAGCTGTCTAGTTTGAAGACCCCTGAACTACACCCTTGATTGGGCCCATCATCATTTCATTGTAAAGAGTAGGGTTCTCAGCACTTGATGACTTTAAGACTTGTAGACTTCAACTCCCAGAATTCCCCGGCCAGCTGGCTGAGGAATTCTGGGAGTTGAGAAGTCCGTAAGTTTAATAGTTGCCAAATTTGGAGACCACTAGTACAGAGTCTACCTAGAGTCTTCCAGAGCTTCATTTACAGGGGATGAAGATTTGCTATGACCTTACATTTCTTCCATTGAACCCAGCATCTACCATGTTGAGGGATCTAATTGTGAGAGAAATCTGGGAATCCTAGTGAACAAATCACTTAAATATGAGGTGAGAAAAAGTATACAGGACATCCTTGACTTATAACCACAATTGAACCAAAATTTCTGCTGCTAAGCAAGACAGACATCAAGTGAGTTTTGACACGTTTTATGACCTTCCTTGCCACAGTTGTCCATGAATCACTGCAGTTGTCAACTTTGTAACACTTAGATTCATTAAGTGAATCTTGCTTCCCCATTGAGTTTCTTGCCAAAAAGATCACAGAAGGTGATCACATAACCCCAAGACACTGCAACTGGCATAAATACATGCCAGTTGCCAAGCATCCGAATTTTGATCACATACAACAGTCGTAGATGTAAAAATCAATTGTAAGTCACTTTTTCTATGCCATTGTAATTTAGAACAGTCACTACACAAGTGGTTGTAAGTCAAGGATTATCAACATTTTTAGGTGATGAATGTTATAATTGTTTAAGGGGACAATTTAAAAGAAGAATGTTTAATGGGATTTGAAAGGGAACTAATTATAAGATATATAGGTGTCACATTCTAAATGGTAATTATAGGGGACTTTGTTTTGTTTTGTAATATTTGAAATGTGGAGGAAATTTTTGGGAAATGGTGATATAAGAATATGTAGTGAAATCGTAAACTGGACAGATAAAAGTATAAGTACAATGATCGTGAAGATATGGACATTTTGAAAAGGAAATGAAATAGATTTGAAAATGAATGAGAAAATTATAAAATAAGCCTGAGGGAGGTATTTGAGTAAAAACAAATACAGAATATATAAAGTAATGATAAGATAAGAAACTGAATATGAAAGATGAACATGTAATTGAAATTCTATCTGTATGGAGATGTGGAACCATGCTGTTCACTAAAAAAAAAAATGTTTTATTTTTCTTTTTGTTTTGTGAAAACCCAAATAAAATTATTTTTAAAAAGGGATTATAAACATTTGTATTATAAGAATAACTGAAATACTGTTTTGCTGGGAAGCATTAAAAGAATTTGGGGGGAACAAATATCCCATAGATATTTAGTACGTAATGTAAGTATACCCTGAAGGAGATGCAATCTGGATCTCTCTTCATGTTCTACTATTATTAATTCTATAATAAACGATAACGTCAGTAAATTACATTTGTATTTTTACTTGTTTGGCAATGGATTTTTCTGCAGTTCCAGCTAAGGTCCTTGGCAGAAAAAGGGTTAATTACCAGGTATCCAATGTCAGTCGAGCGAAGCCTGCCATTTTCTCTCCACGCAAAGAGAGAAATTTTCATTCTCCATTCATCTTGCTAGCAGGCAAACTACCTGTAGACTGGCTCTAAAGTAGGGGCTTTTCTCAATCCTTAATCAACACCAACTCGAGCTTCCAACTTGGACTGTGAAAAAATACCCTTACTTTTGCAAATCATAGAATTTGCACCAAGTTGTAATTTCGGGAAAATAACAATGTTTTATTCTTGTTCTGAATGCTGTATTGTTGATGGAGCTTTATTAACAATGACCAGGTACCTTTTGTTTCTGTTTTTGGCAGGTTGAGAATTACTAATCTAGAGGGAAACTGAATAGGAATTATCGGTTTATTGTTGGACAAGGTGAAATCGTTTGCAAATCTTAAACGAGGTCAATTTGAATCATAGCCGGAAGATCTAGGAAGGCATCTAAGAGGTAAATCTGCCATTCATTTACTTTTATTTGTTTGTTTACCATTAAGTAGCAACCTGGTACAGGTAACACTCCACTTACAACCCTTAGTTTAGTGATCGTTCAAAGTTACAATGGCACTGTCTATGGAGATTCTCAGTCATCCAGGCAGGGGTGGGATTCAAATGTTTTAACAATCGGTTCTGTGGGCGTGGCTAGGTGGCCATGTGACTGGGTGGGTGTGGCTTCTTTTTTTGCAGCAAACACCCCCCCCCCCGGTGCATCCCTTTTTGCCTTCTGGGCCTCAGGGAAGCCTCCAGTGGGGGGGCATTTTTGCTTCCAGAAGGCTTCCATGAGGCGCAGGAAGACAAAAAAATGGAGCGCGGGGGGGGGGGCTGCGCAGCACACACGCATACACACACACACACACCATGCTCCATTTTTTGGCCTCCTGGGCCTCAGGGAAACCCCTTGGGGGATATTTTTGCTCCCAGGAAGCTTCCCTGAGGCCCAGGAAGGCAAAAAATGGAGTGTGCAGGAGAGATGGCGCAGCACACACACCCTACATGTTCCTTTTTGCCTCCTGGGCCTCAGGGAAGCCTCCTGGATGAAGCAGTAAGACAGCGAGGGGGATCCTGGCACAGCTGATCGTCAGAACAGCTGATCATCAAGAGGAAAAAAAAAGAAAGAAATACCTGGGTGGGGGATAATGCAGTCAGCGATGTCGGGCATGCACGTGACGTTGCTCCTGCATGATAAGGACTGACTTGGAGAAGAGGGGAGGGTGGAGAGGGGCGGGGCCAGCCAGAACTGTGTAGAATCATAACAACCAGTTCTATAGAACCGGTCTGAACCGGTAGGATCCCACCCTTGCATCCAGGTCATGGCTGTCCCAAAGGTGCATTTTCAGGAGGTAGCTGGACTTTCTGGTTTTTCTTTGAAGTCGTTTTGCTTCTCATCCAAGAAGCTTCTTCAGTTCTGACTGGATGGAGGGGAATGGAAGGATTTATACTCCTTGCAGACAAGTGGTTATTTGCATTCTTTTAGAAAGTCGTTGAGGTCACCCGGAGGTCTCAGAGTCACCTGAGTGGTGCAAATGGGTGTGGAGAGCCTTCTTGAAACAGCTGAAAGGACTTTGTTACGGAGCTGTGCTTTCTGCAGGAGATTTTCTGCAGTGAATGGACACAGGGGATCCTGAGGACACAGAAAAATCTTGAACCTGAATCCAAAACAGGCCTGGTGGGAACTCCTGGGAGGGGAGGGATGGGGCAGGGTCAGCCAGGAGTGGGATTAGGGGGTTCTCCCAACTGTGCAGAATCTTAGCTAGGGGCTCTCCCAAACCCTTGTGAACCCCCATCAGTGATGTGATAGGTGTCTTTCCATACTTGAGAAGAAGAGGCCACCCTATTATCCAAAGCACCTGAGGGATAGACTAAGAAAGAACGGGCAGGGAAATTCCTCAGAGATGGATCCAACCTGGAACTGAGGAGAAATTTCCAATTAATCAGTGGAACGGTTTCCCTCCAGAAGTCGTGGATGCTCCATCACACGAGGTTTTTAAGAAGAAGCTAGACAACCATTTGTCCAGAATGGTATAGGGCATTCTGCTTGACCAGGAGACTGGACTAGAAGACCTCGAAGGTCCCTTCCAACTTTGTTATTGGAAGAAGGCCAAACAGCTGTCCTTTCTTGGGATACAAAATAAGAGTGTTTAGAAAAACAGATTCTAATTGAGTTTTTAATAGAATAATTCTTGAATGGAGCAACTGCAGAATTTCTATTGCAAGGCAAGTAAGCAAATTGTTCTGACCCAAACCTTGTTCCAAGGAAACAAACACGAAATGGAGGTAACAGCAAAACCTTTTAATGATTCTTTATGAATTCCGTTCCTTCCTGGTTAAAAGGCTGTTTCAAACGAATTGTCTCTGATAAGAATGAGCCTTGCCAAGGTTGTGCAAGGATGCCAAGAACACTAGATAAAGTTGCTAAGAAATATTTCAAAGATAAAGAGTCTCCAAACACCAACCAAGATACTCCGAACCTCCACAAGGCTTGAGTGCAAAAACTTCTTTGCTTCCTGCAAAGAACTCTGATTTCTCAGCTGGCTTTGATCTCTTAAGGGAGGGGCCATTACCTTGCAGCCTTACTCCCAAGTAGCCCGTGCTGCTGCAACTGCTCTTTCTTTTGAGCAGCCCTGTGCGCACTGGGCCCAGGCTCCTCGGGGACCTCCTCATTACTGCTGCCAGCCTCCACAATCTCCAAAGGCAGCGCTCCACTCCCTGATGGTCCTGGCCCCATCCCTGCATCACACGCAGGCCCCTCATCTGAGTCCTCGCTCTCCGAAACCTCAGCCGTCCTCACCTACTGCCAGCGAATCACGATACAGAAAAGAACAGGGCCATTTCAAAGGTACCTTGGTTTAGAGCCTAAACCAAGACGTTTTAGAATCATTTTCTAGACCTAAAATATACAGTTGGCTTTTTTTTCTTTTAAAGTCACCAATTGGGGAAATCTTCAAAAATTGTCCCTCATTAGGATGCATTGCAGACTCCCTCCCTCCCTTTCAAGGGAGAAAGCTATACATTTCTGGCCCAAAAAGTAATAGCTGGAAATTCTTTATTCTTCCAGGTGTCATTAATGAACTCCAGATCTACCTCAGGAAGTTCAAGCAGCTACAGAAAAATGGGGAGCGATGATTATTCTGTACGTTTGCAAATGGCTTCCTAATTCGGTGGAAAGTTAACAGCCAGTGGCTGCAAACCGGTTGTCCTGCCAGGCAGCGCTGCGTTTCTCTCGTTCAGCATTTCTTCTGCCCTGGAGAATAAGAAATAAAAATAAGAAATGTTTCTGAGATGTTTCTGCTAGTGGCTCTTTCAGAAGCCCTCCTGTTTTGGGCCTGGGTGTGCGGATCGGAAGGCCTTTGTTCACCCATCACGTTTTACAAAAACTGCTGGATCCGACGATTCCCAGGTCTTTCGATTGACTTGGAGCATTCTCAGAAGCAAGGAGCTCACATCCTCAATGTTTATGCTGCATCCACTGCCGGACAATGCAGCCGAGCCTGCTGTGTCCTCAAAGACGGTAAGGACTCCGCGTGAAAAATAAAAGGGTTAGCCACTTGGTGTGTCAACATTTAAGATACTTTTTTACCTGTTAAAAAGCAAAACATTATCTTTCTTTCTTTCTTTCATCCTTCCTTCCTTCACTCCTCCTTCTCTCCCTTTTTCTTTCTTTCTTTTTCTTCCTTTCCTTTCTTTCCTTCCTCCCCCTCTCTCCCTTTCTTTCTCTTTCTCTTTCTCTTTCTTCTTTCTCTTTCTTCTTTCTTTCTCTCTTTCTTTCTCTCTTTCTTTCTTCTTTCCTTTCTTCCTCCCCCTCCTTCCCTTCTTTCTTTGTTTCTTTCTTTTCCTTCTCTCTTTCTTCATCTCTTTTTTTCCTTTCCTTTCCTTCCTGCCTCCCTCCCCACTCCCTTCCTTCCTTCCTTCCTTCCTTCCTTCCTTCCTTCCTTCCTTCCTTTCTTTCTTTCTTTCTTTTTCTTCCTCTCCTTTCCTTTTTCCTCCCTCCCTCCCTCTTTCTTTCTCTCTCTTTTTTCTCTTTCTTTCTTCCCTTCCCTTTCCTTCCTCCCTCCCTCCTTTTCTTTTCTTTCTTTCTTTTCTTTCTCTTTCTCTCTTTCTTTCTTCTTTCCTTCCCTTTCCTTCCTCCCCACTCTCTCCCATTTTCTTTCTTTCTCTCTCTCTCTTTCTTTCTATCCCACCTTTATTATTTTTCCTAATAACTCAAGGCAGCAACTATACATAATACTCCCTATCTTGCCCCAGGCAATATTTATCTTCCCAAAATACCTGAGATAAGGAGCTAAACACTACAAAGGCCTCCATACAAAGTTTCTTTATTGGATTATATCAGGCATCCTCAAGGTATAACTCACAGTTATGTTGAGATTCATCTAATGTCCAATTTTTGCATTGTCGTCTTCATAGTGTGAAAAGATAATTATTTCCATCCCATAATGGTATAGCAGGGGAAGACTCCAGCATGATGCTGGGGTCCAGGTAGGAATGAACAAAATTCCCCTCAACCCAACCAGAGGTCAATTCAATGACCAATCAGGAGTACAGATGTGACCACATGACATGAACTACATCTCCCATGAGGAATTAACTACATTTCCCATGAGGCATTCGCTTAAGGGGACAGCTCTCATTCCCAAACTAACTATATACTGTCTAACCAGCACACTCCTTCTTCCTCCTTTCCCCCACTACAATAGTCCCAACCTTCTGAGGTGAGTAGGGCTCAGAGAGAGTGACTGGCCTAAGGGCATTTACCTGGCATGGTTAAGGCAGAAAAACATTTTAGAGATCTTTTTAGATCCTTTCTTGCATTTCTTCAGGCCCTGGTCCACGGCCGCCAGAGCTGAACTTTCAAACAAAGAACAATTCTCTTGCACAATTCTGTCTCTCATGCGTGCTATGGGCTGGTAGGATAAAGGCACCTAACTGAAATAAGAGCTGAAGGACCGAATTTGTCCATTATTGGAATACAGATTTGGCACAAGAAAATCCCTGTTTTCATAGGGGGATATATTGTGACACATAATCCTGACAGCATATAACCTGGTCTTGGTTCTTAGGCAAAAAATGTATGAAAACAGCAACTCATTAGAAAGATAATCTGTTTAATCCTTTTGGGGTGGGGTGGGGATGATTTTTTAAATCAAGATTTGGTGGTGGAAAGAGAGATGCCTAGAGAACGATAATTTTTAGCACCCTAATTAAAGGATTTTTTAAAAAATTAATATGTTCCACAGTCTGACAAAGCTCATTCAGCATCAGGACTCAGCTTAAAATTTTCCTGTCTCTCTACTTTTTAGTTTCCTGTAACTTAGCTGTTTTCTACTACAAAACCAATATCCATGATGTAAACTGCATTCATATGTATTGCCCGGTGCTGGAAAGCTGCATAGTAAAACCTACAAGCAGTGTGATCCTCTACAATATTACACCAGGTTTGCTTGATGGTTTATTTGTTTGTTTATTATATTTTTGAACTACCCATTTCCCTCAAAGTATGCATTAATGCACATTCGGGGGAAATAGTGATTTGCACATGTGCATAACTAAAATCCATTTTTTTAAAAAAAAACTTAAGGTAAAACTTTATAGCAAAGAAGCTGGAAGGAAGTACCAAATATCTAGTTGTCTTCTATGAGTTAATAATAATAATTAATAGATGATGATGATGATGATTATTATTATTATACCATTTTAGGATGCTTTGATTGCTGAGCTATATGATGTCATAAGTTTTTTTTTACTGTAGAACTTGCTTTTTTAGAAAGTATCCAGATATGAAGTTTGCTTGTTTGCTTTTTTTGTTTGTTAGTTTGTTTAATAAACTTTTTCCTGTATAATCTTTTAGTTTATTCAAAGAAAATATAAAACATCAAAATATTTTTAACAGAGATGAAAGAAAGAAAGAAAAACCCACAGGGTCTGTAGCATTCCCTTCCCTGCCTGAATAAGTGGGGTAGGTTGATGTGTTGGGGCGAAGCTGGTTCCATAGATAGCCTGGCCCTAATGCCATGTAGGGATTTATAGGTAATAACCAAAACCTTGGACTGGACCCAGATGCAAACTGTCACCCAATGCAGTTCATGAAGCAGAGATGTTAAATGTGCCCATCTTTGGACACCCAACCTGAAAATAAGCCCTAGCATGATTTTTTTTCAGAATGCTGGTAATATAAGCCCTATCCCCCAAAATAAGCCCAGGCAAGATCATCAGCCAAACGAATGCATATAGTACCATATTTCCCCAAAAGTAAGCCCTAATATATCTTTTGGAGCAACACAGTCTTATATTTGGGGAAACATAGTAGCTCACATGGCCACATTCTGCATCAGTTGAAACTTCTGGATAGTTTTCAAGGTTAGGCCCATGTTTAGAATGTTGTAATAGTCCAGTTGGGAGATGACCAGGGCATGAGTGACTAAGTGGAGGGCCTCTCTTGTTCTGGAAGAGATGTAACTGGCGCACAAATGCAAAGTTGGTGGAGATAAGTCTATAGATCAGATGCCATTGGATGAGAGGAGAGAAATTAAAACTTTCTTCTTTCTTGGCTTCTGTTTTCCCAGGTGTTGATCCTGACCTTCTTGTTTTTGAGAAGCTCTCGTTCAAAGATATAAACACCAGGTCTTCTTTTAATAAATGGGAGAGGCATGGCGGGGCACGGGTTGCTGACCTAGTAACAGACCAGGGTGAACTCTCTTCCCCAAGATTCCTTTTCCTGGAGGCCTCCTCTTCCACAACAGCCCCAAAGCCAGACATGGACAGGACTAGCAGGAGCTCAGCAGTAGATGCTGCCCTCAAGAATTCACCCGTCACGTTGACGGTGGCGGCTTCAGCAATGGACCATTCAGTGAAAGCAGCTGAGATTCTTCCAGGGAGGAACACCTCTTCTACCACTTCAGATAAGGTCAAGACATCTCCTGTCTCTGTGCCTGCACTCATCTGGACGGCGTCGCTATCACCCAGTGGGGTCCTTCCCAATAACAGCAAACCCTTGAATGAAACCAAAGTCTACAGCGGAAGGAACAACAGTTCTGATGATGAAGGCCAGCGGCCCACACAGGAGACGGCGGGAACGGGGGGCTGGTTCTCTCTGATTGTCCTTTGTTCTTCGTTGGCTTTCATGTGCTGCTGCTGCTGCTGCGGGATATTTTTGGCAACCGGATGGAAAAGGAGAGGTCGTTATAAACCAAGGCAGAAAGGAAGATCAGCACCCAACCAATTCATAAAATACACTGCCATTAAAAGTAGTTTTTAATGGTCAGATTCCAAATTCATCAGGAAGGGGAGGGAAGGTAGAGGAAGGGAAGGGTGCAGAGGTAAGCAATAAAGATGATAAGGGATCTGGAGGCTAAACTGTACAAGGAAAGATCGAAGGAATGTCTAGTCTAATAAAGAGAAGGATTAGCGTTGACATCAGGGGGCGGGATCCTACTGGTTCGATCTGGTTCTATAAAACCGGTAGCTCCAAAGAGCAGCTGACACTGAACCGGTTCACTGGGACAAGGTTTTGGTCTGCTGTTTGGCCCACCTGCCTGCCCGGGCTCTAGGCTGTCCTTTAGTGATTGCGTTTTCCTCCTCAGCTGCTTTACACGGCACGTCTGAGTGCCGCTCGTCAGCTGAAGAAGGTAAATGCTTGCCGGAGCTGGTAGTCGCAAGTGCATGCAGCATGCGTTTGATGCGCATGCTAGTCCTTCCCGAACCGGTTGTTATGCTGCTCGGATCCCACCCCTGGTTGACAGGATAATAATCTTCCAATATCTGAGGGAGGGGCTGTTGCAAAAAATCAGGGATCAATTTATTCTCCAAACCACTGAGGGCAGGACAAGAAGGAATGGCTAGAAGGCCATTGAAGAGAGATGGACAAACTTCCTGTCAGTGAGTGGATCAGTGGAATTGCTTGCCTCCAGAATTTGTGGAGAGCCACTTGTCTGGAATGGTATAGGTCAGTGCAGGGGTAGGATTCAAATTTTTTAACAACCGGTTCTGTAGGTGTGGCTTAGTTGGTCGGTGTGGCTTGGTGGTCATGTTATTGGCTGGGCGTGGCCAACTCAACATCACTCACATCGAGGCATGCATCTCCAGGCCTGGCCTCTTATGACTGTGGGGATGCTGCAACAGTCGTGTGAAAAATGGTCATAAGTCACTTTTTTCAGTGCTGTTGTAACTTTGAATGGTCACTCCACACAAGCAAAGTACCAGCAAAGGAGGGGAAAAAAACTCCAGAGACATTCCTGAGACAGGAAGTCTAGTCCTGCCAAGAAGGTAATAAGGGTTAACGGAGAGACAGTTTCTGTAAGCAACCCCAGAATGTTTCCTTCCTGCCTTCCTTACAGGATTAGGCCAGTAATTTCTTCTAACAACCGGTTCTCCAAACTGCTTAGAATGTTAACAACCAGTTCTAGCAAATAGGTGCGAACTGTAGAATCCTACCCCTGGGTCAGTGGTGGCTAACCTTTTTTGGGCTCCTGTGCCAAAAATTGTGTGCACCTTTGCACTTGCGCACTCGCGTCCCACCACCCAGAAGGCAATACATGCACCCCCCCTGCCCCCGGTATTTTCAGAAAAACAGGAAGTGATGAAACAGGGCTAGTTTTCTGCCTGCAAAGCCTGCAGAAGCCTTCCTCAAGCCTTTGGGAGTCCAAAAAAGGCCTCAAACCCACCAAAAATCAGCTGTGAGGCGCGCAGATATGCAGTGAGATAAGTTTGCCTGCAGCTCGCGTGCCGACACAAATGGCTCTGTGTGCCACCTGCGGCATGCATGCCATAGGTTCGCCATCACAGGTCTACACTATCACTTCAGCCACTTTTGTGATTAGAAAAGTAACACAAGGAAGTACAGGGATTGCTCTTGGGGCCTGTTTGTCCTCTATGGCAGGGGTCTCCAACCTTGGCCACTTTAAGACTTATGGACTTCAACTCCCAGAATTCCTCAGCCAGCAAAGCTAGGTACCACTTCAAAGCAAAGCTGGCTGAGGAATTCTGGGAGTCGAAGTCCACAAGTCTTAAAGTGGCCAAGGTTGGAGACCCCTGCTCTATGGCATCCTGTCTGATTCCAGTTCCATTTCTTTGGACCAGGGAGGCCTCCAAACTTGGCCACTTTAAGACTCGTGGATTTCAACTTGCAGAATCCCTCAACCAACATGAATTTCCCTGAATTCTGCACGTTGAGGCCCACAAGTCTTAAAAGTAGCCATCTTTTCTATTTCATGCATGCCTTTAATTCTTATCTCATAGATCTATGATGGCAAACCTATGGCACGTGTGCCGGAATTGGCACGCAGAGCCAAGGGTGGGATTCTACCAGTTCGCACCTATTTGTTAGAACCGGTTGTTAACATTCTAAGCAGTTCGGATAATCAGTTGTTAGAAGAAATTACTGGCCTAATCCTGTAAGGAAGGCAGGAAGGAAACATTCTGGGGTTGCTTACAGAAACTGTCTCTCCGTTAACCCTTATTACATTCTTGGCAGGACTAGACTTCCTGTCTCAGGAACTTCTCTGGAGTTTTTTTTCCCCTCCTTTGCTGGTACTTTGCTTGTGTGGAGTGACCATTCAAAGTTACAATGGCACTGAAAAAAGTGACTTATGACCATTTTTCATACTTATGACTCTTGCAGCATCCCCATAGTTATGAGAGGCCAAGCGAGGAGATGTGTGCCTCAATTTGAAAAATGTTGGGTTGACCATGCCCAGCCAGTCACATGACCACCAAGCCATGCCCACCAACTAAGCCATGCCCACAGAAATGGTTGTTAAAATATTTGAATCCCACCCCAGCGCAGCCACTTCTGCCAGTACGCGAGGGGTCACCCAGAAGAGCCCCACTGTGCATACACGCATGCCACCTGCCCAACAACTGATTGTTGGATATCTGGTGCGCATGCACAGGAGGTGGGTGTCCAGGAGACACGTGCATGCGCAGACCTGCGCGGTGGGGTCTCACGTGTATGCACAGAGATTCATGGTGTGCAGAGGGATTGCACACGCATCAGAGGCGTGTGGTGCATGTGTTGGGGTCACGCATGTATGTACAGGGAGTGGGGGCCCCCACGCACATTGCCTTCTGGGTGCTGGCACACAAGTGAGTGCGCACGCAATTTTCGGCACGGGAGCCAAAAGATGTTAGCCATCACTGTCATAGATCCTCAACTCAGGTTTACTTAAATATGAGTTATCTTCATATTGTCTTTAGAAGACTGAAATTGCTTAAGTCCACTAAGGGAGTCCATGATTAAAGGCAAAATTAATTAAGGCAACTCTGACATACAGGCATTTATCATTTTTTCTACCCTCCTTTTTACTTTTCACAAATTGAGCTAGAGTAGAGTAGAATAGAATAGAATTAGAATTCTTTATTGGCCAAGTGTGACTGGACACACAAGACATTTGTATTTTTGCATATAAAGATATTACAATGTAATTGTAGTAGTGACTATCTATCTATCTATCTATCTATCTATCTATCTATCTATCTATCTATCTATCTATCTATCTATGTATCATCTATCTTATCTATCTATCTATCTATCTATCTATCTATCTATCTATCTATCTAT